AGTTCAGTGAAGTTTCGCAATACTGAACAAGCTAGCCCGCGTGGCAACGATTTAAGACTCTTTACCAAATCAATCTTTCATACTTCACGATGTCGGCTCCCACTAGAAAATAGTCAAGTTTACAATAATGATTTTGTTTTATGGTTTGAGAAAACGAATTAGTCAAACCTAGGGAATCGCAAGTGGCTGAAGGGCACAGCATATGTCACTAGTGTACTGGTTGGGCGAGCATGTCTATAGTTTTATAGATGAACCCGTTGGAGAGTAGTTCAATATGCTTGGCAATAAGCGTGGTGCATTTCTCTGTTGCTGAGTCAATGTCTTACTGACTCAGCCAATTCCACGAATTACACGTTCGCAAAGTTCTTAGAGAGAAGACATGAACAGAATAAGACAGACCTTACTTTCTTACGTTTCGTTTTGCATTGAACAAACCTTACGTATACATAAATTAAAGTCAATCGACAGTACTCACAATAAATAGAAATTGGTATAGTGTTATACTTTCTGTCCATTTACCTACAGCATATTATTGTATGAGTCTATCCACTGTCACTCGCTAAATATAACATCATCCACTCCTCATCATTTCGCAATATGACTTTTGCATAGGTCATAACCACAACACTTAGTCCATCCATAATTCAATGGTTACGCCTCTTGTCAACTCATTTGATAGCGTCAACTAGCCACCATTAACGTGCTCTCATCGCCCCTTACACCCAACGGAGGAAAGAAATCGAGGCGCACAAATCTGGGAGGCAGTTCTTCGGGATTGGCGTAATAGAAATCAGGAAAAGTTTACATGATAAGATAGAGGATGGTTACTTTTTCGACGGGTCTAATACTTTGAATTTTGGCAAGGATTTTATTTGATACTAAGAATCAAATGTAAAAATATGAAGTAAAAGTATGTGTATGAAATCTCTGCTCCTCCATTCCTATCCGGCCTTGGTGCTATATACCCATCTGAAACTATTTCCGGGAGAGCATATTACCTCCTCGCTTCTAATGTTATAATATGAGCTAGATTATATGTGTTGGAGATCGAAAGATCCCAAGTTTGAACTTAGATTATCCTGGTCATTCTGACCATCCTGAACACCATGTCCTTGGTGAGATATCAAAGATCGTAAGAGTTAATCCGAAAGGAAGTGCTATCTCAATATCAAATCCCAATGATTCTCATCGCCAGTTCCTTTAGGTTCCAAACTATCAGTTATTATTTTTATTATTCGATTTGTATTCATATCCTGATTTGGCGCCCTGTAGGCCCATGCAGATGGCTAAAACCCTATCTATATATTTACATTGGAGGAACCCTATCAGTGAAAATCTCCCCAGCTTTCTGATTTGTATCTTTGAAATTTGCAATTTATCCTTCAGGAAGCACGGTTACACTGCAACTCCGTCAATGTGTACCAATCACGTCCCCTGTAACGACCCCAACCTTGTGCCAGGCCTGTCTCGTTCCCTTATCAGCATTTCGACAGCATTTTTCATGCGGAATTGATCTATCCTACCATGAATAAGGATCCATTGCGTAATTCCTTTAATATCGCCGGGATTGTCTATCATTGCTTCGTAGGACCGATCTTTGACGGGGGACTATTCTCAACATCTGTCAGTGTTTTCCCCTACGAACCTCCAGCTCTCACTGTAGAGCCTACAGAGCCGAGATTGAGTTACAAAGTCCTCACTTTGACGGGGATTCCCAACCGCTTTCGCGTTCTGTATCGTTTTCATCTTCAACACATTCCCCTATCACCATTTTCATCACGCTAACCACGATCAGATCAGATGGTAGGGTCGGAGCCCTACTCATCACCAATCCTTGATCATAGAGGAAAAGACATCAGATGAGTTTCCGGAGCGTACCCAGCACCCGATACGGAGATGGCGGATTGGATCAAGTCGCCCTCGAATGTTACAAAGAAGGGAAATATAGATGAATATGCGCACCTCACGTGGTCCCTGTGTCTAGGCCTCGCCTGGCTGGGGCTGCAGGTTTTTTGAGACTTTTTCCATTACTACCATTTTTTAGGTAGAAGGTTCAGTGGAAAAGGTGGCCGGATTCCACGGGTAAGTACTGAGCCGAATGACTATTCATCACGGGCAATATATCAATGATCTTTCAAGAAACGTGAATTGCAAGGAGCACTGTACAAGGTGTGGCCTGGGTCAGAGAGGAGCCCAATGTGCTAGATAGTCATAGACTCAAGTAGTACAATAAAAAACACACACACAAACCGATCTTTGACTTCTCTCCAGACCTCACCCCTACCACTTGACCACTTATGGCAGGGCTTATTTTCTAATTTTTAGGTCCTAAGCTATGCTCAATATGTCCTAGCAATCTTTTTTTTGCATGAGATTTTAATTGCGTATGCAGCTGTCTAAGTTACGCCCCCAGGGCTCCAAACATGCAATGAGCAAGGCAGTGTAGGTGCTTGAACATGAAACACCTACACGTGACATGAATGCCAATCTAGTCTTGGCATTACTCAGTAAACACCCACACCTCTTTTTTTTTTCTTCAGATTTTAATTGCGCATGCAGATATCTAGCTATGACACAATATCAAAAAAAAGTACAAAACAGATGATTCAACGTAAAAGAAGAGCACTCATGCCTCGGATTTCATTTGCAAGTACCACTGCAAAGTTATGGCGGCTTTTTCTTCACCCCAAGTCAACCCTCATCCATGAATACCCACCCAGGGGAACATCTCAAAAACCCTGAGTTACCCAGACATGCCTCCATCATCTTTCAACTTTTCTCCGCGCGAAATGTAATCTGAGATGTCTCCTTCCCAAGTGGAGTAGGTGCCCAGGCTACTCAAACTATACCAGAGAATACCACCAGGAGGCGGACCACAACGCCTTCTATCGTTTGCTTATGTTTACAGTGTTAGCTGCACTCTCGCAAGCGAAGTCTTGGCTCGCACAAAGCCCAATTCGTAAAACTCCTTGCCAAAATTTTGATTCTCACGCTCTTCGAGGTTAAATCCTTCCTTCGTATCATCTTATCAACTTGTCCTGATATCTCTCACGTCCATCCCAAAGAACTGTCTCCCAGATTTGTGCGCCATACTTTGCTTCCTCCGTCGGGTATAAATATCGGCGTGGGCGTGTATTTGGTGACCGGCTGAGGCCGGAGAAAGTCGACGAGAGGTGTGGTCATTGAGATGAGGATGTACTTGGTCTTACTTGTAGACTTGATGAGACGAAGATAGGAGTCAAACTCGTTGGGAGCGAAAAAGCGACGTGCTGGAGTAATTTGAATTTTTGCCTCGTGGGCCAACTTCTTTGATATTGCGAAATTTGACTGAACTTGGCTCTGGGAGAATATTTCACTCACAGGTTCGTAGAGGACACCGCGTACAGGTGTTCAGTCTTCGTCCTCCAGATTAATTGTTCTTTTTTTTTAAATCATTTAATGTGTATTCAGCTATCTAGCTATGACACATGACCGGCGCTATGTATACATGTGGGATGACTCTTTTGACGTTAGAGACACTCATACTCTGGATTTCATTTGCAAATACCACTATGAGGTATGTTTGCTTACACAAACAGTCGACCCTCCTCCGTTAGTACCCACTAAAGGGAATTTAAAAACCTTTGGTTATCCAAGCATGCCTTCGTCATCCATGCATACCAGCGCCGCGAGAAATGTGGTTGTGTTTTGCCGGATTCGAACCAGCGATCTACTATCTCAAGTGGGATATGTGTCCAAGCTATCCAGACTCTACTTGGCAGACCGGCCAAGATGATGTACCACCGCACCATCCAACCATGGCGGTGTTTATAGTGTCGCCTGCACTCTCGCAACCGATGTCTTGGCACGCACAAAGCTAAATTTGTAAAAACTCCTTGCCAAAATTCAAAATTCCAGGCCCGTCGAGATTGTATCCATCCTCTGCATCATCCTATCAACTTGTCCTGATCCCTCTCACATCCATCCCAAGGAATTGTCCTCCAGATTTGTGCGCCACGCTTTGCTTCCTCTGTCGGGTGTAAATATCGGCGTGGGCGTGTATCTGGCGACCAGCTAAGGCCAGAGAAAGTCGACAAGAGGTGTGGTCATTGGGATTAGGATGTACTAGGTCGTACTTGTAAACTTGATGAGGTTTAGGTAGGAATCGATTTCGTTGGGAGTGAAAGATTGATATGGTGGAGTAATTTGAATCATTGCCTCGTGGGCCAACTTGTTCGGTATTGCGAAGTTTGACTGAACTTGGCTCTGGGAGAATATTTCACTCCCAGGTTCGTGATTAATTGTTCATTAACGTGCTAGGTTAAGTGACTACCGTTGCACTCCTACTGGAGCTTGAGCACGTGTGGGGTCGGGCCGGATCAGGTTAACTACCGTAAAGTACAAGTGCCTCGTCCCACCTCAATGACCGTAACCATCCCGAAACGCATCTATGTGATGAATCATGACGAGTCCAGCAGCCCAGAATCAAAAACAAAAGAAACCCCCCAAGCGAAACCCTGCATTACAAAAGAAAAACTTTAACAATCCCACTTCCATCGTTCAGCCTCAGCCACCACGCGCCTGAGCCTCGATTCCAATCTCCCCTTCCACGCCATACCACCTAGACCTTTGATCTATGAACTCCGATTCGCAAGTATCCCTACCATCCCCCGACTAGTCTCCGCGTATATTCCGCTCTACTGGACGTAGTCCCTGAACAGATGCCATCCACTTGATCCAAACATAGTTTCCAAAGTCTCGAATACAGGACTCGTAGAATATGTAACTTGTTTGTTTCTGATTCCACCGTGCCTCGTCGTCCGAGGCGTGACTTTGATATGCTATAGGTGACTAATCAAGGTGTCTACCTGCTAGGCTATTTCCGGATAACACTCGGATGATTTAGAGATATGGGCTACGGTGTTCACTTGTCGGGGGCTGCAATTGTGTTTGATCGTTTTCTTTTTTTGGGTAGAGGTTCATGTCCTCAACCCAAGAATTATCTGTTTTACTGATCGAACATGAAGTATATCCCCTCGGATACGAGTGCATCATCCCGGGTGTTGGAGCATGGGTCACTTTTACGCCCAAAAAAGAACATCCAAGTCAGTAAACAGCTAATTAGGTGAATTTTTTCTGCACCTAACCGTAATTCTAGGAAACTGCTGTAGATGATACACCAGCTAGCACACGGGATGTAGAGGTTGAACCTTACAACTTCCGAAAATTTAGTGTCAAGTCACCCAGTCTACCATTTAATCAGCCAATCAAATACAATTCAGTTAGTAAAGCAAGATATCTGACAACTCAGACATTAATCCAACAAGTCGCATACACTTTCTCCGACAGCATTTTTTGCTACTCTCCTGAATCATTTGACCTAGATGTTGCTATCAAAGCTTGGGCTAAAGCTGAAGCATGGAACGTGGGTGACTATGTTCCAAATATACATTCACTACAGACCCGTTCTGGTGCTGGCGCAATCATTTTGGGATACATCTCCTCACAAGATTTTGACGAAACAAAGAGGCACATACCCCAAGCACTTATAGCTTCCTCTGCCAGCTTGCTAAACCTATATTCATGTCTGGATCAGCTCTCACAGCACTGTTCAGTGACTAACCCCTTCGTCGCTCACATAGCAGCTGTAGATTACGCACCTGGTGCATCATCGGGGCTAGTCACTGACTATACAGTTGCTCTAAATGTTGCTGAAGAATTTGAGCTCGGACTAGTATCCAGCTGCAGTGCTTTTGAGGCTCAACACATGGCTCTATTCTCAACTATCCTGTCAACGATCCTCCCCACAATTCATGTTTACGATGTTCTGAATATGGGGTATTACACGATGCGCGTCACAAATGTTCTCGATTCCTCAAAATTGAGTAGAACCTACAACAATACGTGCGATAATCTTTCTACCATCAGTTTAAGAGCTGATAATGGTACAAGAGTGATGTGTATACTGAACACCTTGAATTATGAATTAGGAACAGCGTACAATCTTTTTGAGTACCGCGGCCATGGTACCCCAGAGACTGTTCTAGTTGTCTTTGGAAGCGTCGAGAGTTCTCTTTCTGGACAGGTTTCCGAAAAGCTCTCTGCTGAAGGCAACAAAGTTGGTGTCATTAGCGTTCGCGTCTACAGGCCCTTCGCAGAGGACGCATTCATTAACACTTTACCTAGCTCAGTGAAAACTATAGCTGTGCTAGGTCAGGTTTCTAACGATACCGCGGTCGCTGATGCGTCATTAAACTCAAAGCTATTCGAGGCAGTCATGGCCGCAGTAGTATTATCTGACGGCTGGGTGACACAACCATCAGTAGTCGACCTTAAATATTCTCGGAGTGAGGTGTTTACTCCTGCATCTATAGCTGCATACTTTCCTCATCCAACTGGAAAAGCATTAGGTACAAGACCGTTACGATTATTGGGCTCTGATATTGAACAGTACATATTCTTTGACATTGAAGATTCAGCTTCATCAACTGCACCAACAGTCATTGGCAAACTGCTTTCTATTGACTCCCCAAATAATGTTGCTATCAATCAAACATATGATAATTTAATCCAAGGTGGAACTATTAGGACTGATATACGTAGCTCCAAAAGACCATTTGAAGCATTCTATCCCATAGAAGAGGCAGATGTTGTGTATGTCGGCCACGAAAAACTCCTTAGCGCTATTGATATTGTCAAGAATATTAAACTAGGTGGAAAGCTTATTCTGAAGCTACCCAACGTAAAAGATGGAGAAGTTCAAGACAAACTTCCCAATTTTGTCATGAGTGAGATAAAATTGAAAGATATACAATTGTTCTTACTTGATCCTTCATTTTCAGGACCGTCACAAAAAGATGCGGCAGTCGAAACAATGGTTGTTGAAATGGCATTCCTGCAAGTTACTCGGCCAGAACTTGCAGATTACAGTTCCGAGAAGCTTGCACTAATTAATGGTAACGTCAAGATATTTCAAGAAGTTTCTTGTGATTTAGAAAAGATAATCAGGCCATTTAAGATTCCGGAAATGTGGGCCGATATTGAGGTTGACCAAGAGGTTACAGAGCTGCCCTGGAATATAAGTGCAACCAGTTTTACTGGGATCGAAAAAAAAACCATTGTACCCGCTCTAACTCATGATTACCAATCTACAGTTAAATCTCTAGTCTTCAAGGAGGCATATGATACTAGATTAGAGCTTAAGCCTGGGCTTGCAGTGAAGACTTATGAGATAACAGTAAAGGAAAACCGTCGTTTAACCCCTTTGGCCTATGACCGAAATATCTTTCACATAGAATTTGACCTCGATGCTTCTGGACTAATATATAATATTGGAGAGTCAATCTGTGTACATGCTGAGAATAATGTTAAAGATGTTGCTCATTTCATATCAAAATATTCTCTACATGCCGATGATATTGTAAAAGTATCCTCTCATAGCAATCCTAGCATTCTTGTTACACGAACCATCTATCAATCTCTTGTTCAAGATCTCGACATATTTGGCAAGCCATCAAAAAATTTCTATCAGGTCCTAGCTGGCTTCGCCTCTAGTGAAATTGAAAAGAAAGAACTTTTAGCGCTCGCAGGTCCCGAAGGATCTGCCAAGTTCAAACGTCGAGCCGAAGTGGAAGCTGTTACCTTCGCTGACCTTCTTCTCGAATTCAAATCAGCCCATCCTTCCTTCAAAGAAATTATTCAAATCGTGCCTCCTCTAAAGCGGCGTGAGTATTCCATAGCGTCGTGCCAATCTGTCAGTCCAGATAGACTTGCGCTCATGGTAGTCATCGTTTCTTGGGTTGATCCACGCGGCCGTATCCGCTATGGTCAAGCTTCGCATTATCTAAGCGAACTTTCAATAGGGGCAAAAGTCGTAGTATCATTAAAACCATCCGTGATGAAACTTCCCGTCATTAATACTGTACCACTCATTTTGACTGGTCTTGGCACAGGAATTGCACCATTCCGTGCCTTTGTCCAGTACCGCGCTCAACAAAAGTCCCAGGGCAACGATACAGGCCCAATTCTACTATATATTGGCTCACGCCGCCAACATGAGGAATATCTATATGGAGAGGAGTGGGAGGCGTATCATGACTCCGGAGTTATCACGTACATTGGACAAGCCTTTTCCCACGATCAGCCGCAAAAAATGTATATTCATGATCGCATGCGCCAAAGTATGCAAAAAATTGTCGAGGCTTATATTCGGGATGAAGGAGTCTTCTATCTTTCCGGTCCAACATGGCCTGTGCCGGAAATTACAAAAGTTCTTAGGGAAGCAATTTCAATGGACGCTAAAATTTCGGGTAGGAAAATAGACCCACGGAAAGAAATTGAGAGGTTAAAGGGAGAATCAAGATACGTGCTTCAAGTTTATTAATGCCTCGGTAATTCTTCAATTTTTAGATTAACTAGCTCTCAATGTCGGAAACACACACATTGAACCTTCATAAACCTAGATTATATCTTGTGTTCGAATTGATAAATGAAATCAATATGACTCTATGAATAGAAGACGGACTCCTTTTAATTACTTTATCTAAATGTATTATGTTGTTTTAAGTAATATAACTCGCAATTTCATTTGAGGTATCTGAAGGACGATTTGGATATCTGCCTTGAAGATAAGATAATTTATATCAGCTTGCTTGCTTCAAATACAAAATTATTTTTACGTTTAATGATGAACCGTTAGCCTAATGCTTCATTTCAAGGTTCTAGTTACGAGAGCTCCCGGAATCTTGACCGGCTGTCTCTTCGATGGCTCATAAGTAATCACGGGAGAGCTAAACTAATATTATTGTCGCGGAACTATTTTGAAGACCTGTCAGTGTTTTCCCCTACGAACCTCCAGCTCTCACTATAGAGCCTACAGAGCCGAGATTGAGTTACAAAGTCCTCACTTTGACGGGGATTCCCAATCGCTTTCGCGGTCTGTATCGTTTTCATCTCTCAACACATTCCCCTATCACCATTTTCATCACGCTAACCACGATCAGATCAGATGGTAGGGTCGGAGCCCTACTCATCACCAATCCTTGATCATAGAGGAAAAGACATCAGATGAGTTTCCGGAGCGTACCCAGCACCCGATACGGAGATGGCGGATTGGATCAAGTCGCCCTCGAATGTTACAAAGAAGGGAAATATAGATGAATATACGCACCTCATGTGGTCCCGGTGTCTAGGTTTCGTCTGGCTGGGGCTACAGGTTTCTGAGACTTTCCCCCGCGCATGCAGTTACCATTGCTATCATTTTTCTTTCTTTTTTTTCGAGTAGAAGGTTCCGTGGAAAAAGTTGCCGAATTCTACGGGTAAACACTGAGCTAAATGGCTATTCATCACGGGTAATATATCAATGATCTTTCATGAAACATGAGAGGCAAGGAGCAATGTACAAGGTGTGGCCTGGGTCAGAGAGGAGCCCTATGTTCTAGACAGTCTATGAATCAAGTAGCACAATAAACAGCACACACATATCAGTCAGGGCTGGGTGGCTAGAGCGAGTTATGGTCGCCTCTGTGAAACATAAAAGCTTCCCCTATATTTATAATTAGGAGTTCAAGGAAGTCCTTGATAAATGAAAGATTCATTAGGTGCAAGCGCCTAGAGATATTTAAAGTGAGCATAGTTTACAATCTTGTTTCCCAAAAGTAATTTTCCCCCCAGCTTGAATTGTGACTTATTCTATTAGTTTAACCTCGTAGTATCATGAAGTTATTATCGAATTCGAATCTGGTAATGATCTTCATGTTCAAACTCAATGTTAGTGTTTTTTCATAGAGCCTAGTTAAGACGGCTAAATGAGCAGCAAACGGTTTCATTTAGGGGGAGTAGCTTAAATTAACTCAATCTACTCGTATCTTTCTACCCCCTCTGACAATCCTTCCATTATTTCCAAGTCGAGACATGACACACTTTGCAACAGTCTCATTTGAATGCATCGAGGCCAAAGCAAAAGACTCAGTATTGTGTGCAAAGTGAAGGAAGTATCCAAAGGCTGTTTTTTTCACTGCCATGACGCCAATAGCACCTGCTGAAGTACTGTTGCGAACGCCCGGGTGGTCCATGAAATCAGCTTCAATAAATGATTCTATAGATTCCTCTTCCGTCGTCTGCACATCTATGTTACCTGATGCTCGCTTCGTACAGGAGTGAAGCCTATCAGCACACTTCTGAGATGCCATTGTTGTTGCCATGTGCTCGCCTGTGCCGCTTGTAACAACGGCAACACATGTCTTTTCTTCATCGCTTTCATCAACTGGAATGACTGCTGATCCTATCCCAACAAGAGCAGCGGGACCAACGCGCCCGCGATGTTTCATACCAATGCCTCCCGAAGATGAGCCGGCAGAGATATGGCCATACATATCGATTGCAATAGCACCAACAGTGTCTGTGATATGATCTTCGACATTATTATCTAGCTTCGAACTAGTAATATCGTCTCGATTAAGGGCGCAATTCATAGACTGCTCATTAATACCCTTATCAGATTTAAAATCGGACGAAGGTGTGCCATCAAAATTTCCAGTACTAGATTGGAGTACAGGTGAAAAAGCTCCACCCTTCATACAGGAATCATTCGCTAGTCTTTTTAAATTAATGTGGCAAGGTTCGTGAAATATCGGAGCTTGTAAGTCTTCAACCTGTTTTGAACATTCATGTCTAGCTCGTTTGGCGGGTAAATTTTCGCGTTCTTGTTGCCCAGCGATAAATAGCGCGCATGGCTTTTGGGCTTTTAGACTTGGAAGTGCTTCCTTGACGCATGGTTCCTGAACCTGGAATGAAGGCAGTAGAGCAGTCGGACACGGGTCTCCTTCATTCCAGGTGCTATTTAGAAAAGCGTTCACCGGAATCCGTCGCGGTTTAGCGAAAACACGTGCTCTGCTTTTCTGATTAACCTCTTTTTGTTCAAGATCATTAGTGTGTAGATTGCCTGTAAATTGAAAGCTCTCAACACGATCCAGGTCTTCTTTCCAGCGCTTATAACGGTCACGAGAATTTATAGATACTAACGTGTCGTGAGAAACAACTGGAATCCCGTATTCCCGAGCAAATTCAGTTGCACCCTGCCCAACGAGAAGATTAGGGGGCACTCTTCGTAATGAGAGTGGTCTGCTCGAAGCATCTAAGATAGTTCTTGCTAGATGAATCGGGTTTTTTATTTCTGAAGAGAAATCAGTAGAAGACACCTATTGACGAGGCAAACTTACGTGCTACTGCCCCACAAGCTCCACTCTTACCCAAGTGATCAATTATGGTGGCATCGCACTCAACAACACCGTCGACCGCTAGATTGCTTCCATATCCAGCATTTGTCACTTCATTATCTTCTAAAACCTTCACTGCAATCTCAACAGCGTCAACTGCAGAGCCTCCAGATTTTAAAACACGCATGGCCATCTTTGCGGCGCTAAATTTCGTCAGCAAAGAATCTCTTATGGCTGCAAGCCAAAAATTATATGGGAGTCAAAGTAGATAAAACACACCTATTACAGGCAGCCAAGTGTACACCCTGGTTCTTGGTACTATGATAGCCAGCTCCAGCGTGTACAAATATAGCTGAAACATTTCTTGTAATGTCTGATGGAGCAGACTTGCCCACAGACATAGTAAATTCTGCCGATCTACTCATGATCAGAAGGTCCACTTATACCTGGTTTAAATAGTTAATTTAGTTTTATTACGTTCCTCAGTATGCGTTTGATAAATCAACGACTGCCCTAGCTTCGAAGCTCCTGGTAGTGTAGGGGAATCTGGCCTGGGAATGACTTGAACTATCTCCATTCAATAATATCACCAGTAAGATAATGTACCGATTCAATTCGTGGGAATTGTAGACTTCCAATTCCTCAGCTTTTGATTTACACGGTACTATAGCAAATTGTATAGAGGACGAGATAATATATATCTCACTCTGGAAATTTCTAATCCAAAATGGATCACGCGTGGTCGGAAATTGACCGAGACTCCTTAGGGACAGCCTGTTTCAAACTAAATCTGAATTCCCGCCGATGGTTTAGTGACAGCCTTATCCCCTGGTTTTCGGATAGATTATCTACTTGACCTAGTGACAGGGGGTATAATGAAGAGTTTCATAGAATTTATGACTTCCGTGGAGGCTTTTCTGTGGACGGTTATCAGCGAAACATGATATATTTCATCACATTTTATCCCATAGGATTGTTTGGAATATTCATACATTTGAATTTTCACCTCCTGTGAACCTGAGTTTGATACACACTTTGTACGAAGAATGAAACTATTCTCTCTTTGTGGCAACCGCATTAAAGGACAATGAAAGATATTTTCCAACACTTTATGAATGAGCGACTAGAGTAATAACGCGGATCATGAAAAAATATAAATGTCTACATGAAAATGCGAAGTTTGAGAGGAGAATTTAATCCTTAAATAGTAGGCGATTTTCTTAAAAAGGCATTCACAACCAACCGCAGTTACTCTATGTCATCGCATCTTTTTGTCATATCTTTAGTATTGACCCGATCAAATTTGATGTTTTGACTATGCACATGCCGTTAGTCAAATCACTCACCAGCTATCTAAATTTACCTCAAATAGTTCAAACTTTCTCATCACGCGTATGCTGTACGAATATTTGCCAAGTGGGACGAAAGTTTTACATCCATCAGCGCGGTTTTCTGCGTAAACTGTATGAGTAAGTGAAGGATAAAGACAGAACATCTGCCCTCCGTATTTTCAACGAGCCTGGTAATGATTTTTTTAGCTTGGGCCAATTTCATCCAAATTTGGGAATATCAAAAAATTTGGTCCACGATACAATGATTCCATACCCCCTACTAAAACCTTAATTCTAAACTTGCGGCTTCATACAACGATTCATTGATCACGCCTCTTGTCAACCCAGTATTTAGCCTTTGGTAAACTCTAAATATACGGCTACGCCGATATTAATAGCTGGGAGGTGGGACAAAAACTCAACACCTATCAGTGTTGTCCCCAACGAACCTCCAGCTCTCACTACAGAGCCTACAGAGCCGAGATTGAGTTACAAAGTCCTCACTTTGACGGGGATTCCCAATCGCTTTCGCGGTCTGTATCGTTTTCATCTCTCAACACATTCCCCTATCACCATTTTCATCACGCTAACCACGATCAGATCAGATGGTAGGGTCGGAGCCCTACTCATCACCAATCCTTGATCATGGAGGAAAAGACATCAGATGAGTTTCCGGAGCGTACCCAGCACCCGATACGGAGATGGCGGATTGGATCAAGTCGCCCTCGAATGTTACAAAGAAGGGAAATATAGATGAATATGCGCACCTCACGTGGTCCCTGTGTCTAGGCCTCGCCTGGCTGGGGCTGCAGGTTTTTTGAGACTTTTCCCGCGCATGCAGTTTCCATTGCTACCATTTTATTTTTTTGGGTAGAAGGTATTGAAAGGCTATGCTGAGCTGGAATGACGTACCGTTAGGATGAAGGTATGGAAGGAGGTAGCTATGGCTTTAAGAGAAGTAAAGTTCGTGAGTTATACTCTTAGGACTTGGATCAATGGACGAACTTGAGGATATTCCCTAGTATTCTCAAGTGTGTAAATAATATGGAGATTGTTTGAATTTCCTATTGTATGAATTGCTTAATTTATCTACGTGACAGGACCTTCTTCTATATACATGAATAAGGGGGTTCTGCACACTAGTGGATGTTCCAACATCTGTCCTTGTCTAACCGAGAAAGGAAGGATGTGAGAGATCCTAGCGCCGATAGATACCATTGGGAATCTATTGGAAAATACTATGTCATACCAATGTGTGATGATTTAGGTCAATCATATCCCATGGCGCATGTGCACATTATTCTAATGTGAACAGTTTATTGTAATGCAGTCATGTTACCCCCTTAATTACAACAGAAGGTTCCGTGGAAAAGGTGGCCGAATTCTACGGGTAAACACTGAGCTGGATGGCTATTCATCAAGGGGAATATTTCAATAATCTTTCAAGTAACATGAGAGGCAAGGAGCACTGTACAAGGTGTGGCCTGGGTCAGAGAGGAGCCCTATGTTCTAGACAGTCTATGATTCAAGTAGTATAATAAACATACATCTCTTTCTCACCAACTGTAAAAACTACCAAAAAAACTGCCTTTTAAATCGATACTCCGAGTGGATAATATTGACACCCACAAGAAGCCCTGTTGTATTGATTCCCTTCAAAAAACGAGGGCACCCACATGTAGCATGGTAGAAAAATACCAAGGCTCATCGCGATAGCGGATGCAGAGTTTACGTGGACTTCAACGCAAGATATGAGGTTTTTAGTTTCTCATAGTTTGTGGACAAGTCTTTACAGCAGATTGCCGATAAAGAAGAATTCTTCATCCTCCAGTGGTGCCGGTTTAATCGCTCAGCGTACTCTGCATATCAGGGAAAGCCAGGATGAATCGCATCCGAATCGCATCCGAATCGAAGTCGAAAACAAACACAAACATGTCTCCATTTGACGACTTCAAATCATGCAACACTTAACATTCTCCTCTGAGTATTCAACTCCTTTCCATCCACACATCATCTCGCCTCGACGATCAATAAAGAAGTTGCTCCAATTGCATACAGGAGCTTGCCCAATAAATTTCCAGCCATCTTCCACTACATATTTACGACGCTATTTATATCCGAAAGGAGGAAATCAAGTCTAAAAACATAAAGCCTGGGTCCTGGCTTATGGGGGACTAATGCTCTAAAGGGGTTATAAATCTTGAGGAAGGACAGGCGGCTGAGATGTGAAACGAGAGGGGGAACAGGTCTCTAAAAACCATGCTGGGACAGACATTTAGAAGGGGTTTTCAACTTTGGAACTTTTGTGGCCGCTAAGACGAAGGTTTCGGCAGATTAGCCAGGAGGACTTCAATTGTCGATGGATCAGCGACACTCCCCGGAGCCCTAGACGGCTTAAAAGAAGTTAGACTAAGCTACTTTACACCAAACACGCTCTGTCAAGACTTTTCTGACATTTCAGCACGACCTTCGGGAAGGAGTTGGAAGGAGGCTAGAAAGGCAGAGAGTGAATTTCCCAAGGTACACACAAGTCTGCAGCGCCCAGCTGGCCGGCCTCTTCGAACGCTTCAGAAGGGTCACTATGTCTTCGGATTTAGTCCCAATGTCGGTATTAGAAGAGCTCCGCACCCAGTAGTTTATGCGATTTTTTCCGGCTGCCATACACCCGTAAATGGCCATTCTTTCGTTGGCTAGAGAGGGACGATAATGAAGGGCAAAGGGCTCCTCTAAGTGTATGATCAAATGAGGACTTGTGAGGGGTGGTACTGTTCGAGGGGAGCTGTATGGGAGGCATAGGATGGTATATACTGCTGGTATAGGTATCCTTGGCTTATAGGCAGAGAAGACCTGCATATCCTGCATAGCCATTGGCCCAGGAAGAAAAAAATGAATTAAAAATTTATTACAGATTCATATCGTAATTACCGACGATTTCGAGCTAATTTCCCATATGACGAAAGGATTGAACCAACGCGTTTGATAAGCAATTGTTAAAATACTATTAGGTTCGTGTTGTGTCTATCCTTTGATTGTTGATGAGGTACTTGGATCTTTGAGGAGTCTCTTGTGTCAAGATAGCTTTGGTAAAAGCTTCATGTGGTAGGCAGCTATCTCTGCCTGCTTTCTCTGCAGTGGGAGAAAGGGTTGACACATCTACGAAATAGGCTGGCATAGCCAGAGCGTCAACCATCTATTTTTTTAAAGATTCAGAAGCGTCTGAGACACTACCAGACTGTGAATGTTCCTACCGAAGTGCAGGGCACGGGTATCGCAACAGTCTACGTGCCTGAGAGCTGCCTATATTTTCACAACCTCTCATTGCTAATTACAGTAAGTGGCTTCAAGAATGGTAGGAGAAGAGCCGCTTCTTATCTACGCAATTAGATAACTAAGTTATCAGTGTTTGGGGGATCCCAATAGAATGGCATTCCCTGCATACTATCTGATTACTCATTAAATTAGCATGCATATTAACGTGCCAGACAAATGATACCTTTCGCATTGCTATTGCAGCTTGAGCATGAGTGGAGCCAGGCGGCATCAGGTTAACTACCATATAAGTACATATACCTCATCCCACCTCAGACTTCACTCATGTGTTAAATATGTTAAATGCAACCGTCCAGAGAACCCAGTTTTGAAACTTCGAAACGTAATTTCCTCCTTAGTCCTGACCACCATGCGCCCGAGCCATTGACACCCTCCCAATCTCTGATTTTGCCTTCCAGTTCAGTCTCACTAATACATCATCCCAGTCTCTCTTCATCTCATCCTCTAGTCATGTTCTTCATTGGCTGCCTCATCCAGTAACTCACCAAGTTCTCCTAAGTGTTTCCTCCATTATCGCTGTCCTTGAACCATACGTCAACTTCACCGTATTAGACAATTTGTAGACTTTCCACCTCTCCGGTCCTGCATCGTCACTACCGTACTCCTGCTCGTAGAGGCCGAATATGGACCGATGAGCTCAAGACCGAAGGACCAATGCCTCAGCTTTTGTCAAATGCACTAGTTGATGTGCCAGCGAAATGTCGTCGGTAGCGCTTCGTCGTAAAGCGAGTTTTTGGTGCCCTTGGCTGAGGTATAGACATAGA